GGAGACACGTGTGACGGCCCCGTTTTCATTGTAGGTTTTCTATTTAAAATTTAATACCCGAGAGGCCCCAAGCCAGGATTTATTTCCCCCTTAAAAACATACATTACTCTGACGCTGTAGTACCAGAGGAGTTCCCTGATCCTCCAAAAGACACAATCAAAAGCTTTGTTAAGTTCCTCCAAGGGATTTCACGTGTCCTGTTTTCTCCTCCCAAGAGAGAGTGGGCAATGGTAATGTCTGCCACGGCATCACCTGGATTAGCTCCGTGCTGGCCAGGAAGTGCTCAGCACTTATATATCACTTTCAGGACAGTGTGTGAAGAAACCAATTCAGGATTTAAAAAAGTATGTGCAGGAAATCTCTAAAGCACAGTTTGCTCTCAATTTCTCTGGAAACCTCCCAGAAATGACTTAAAAGCCTGAGAAAACACTTACCAGATAGTGTAAAGTGTTCAGTTCTCACAGGAAGTTCACATATGAAGTCCAAGAACTGAAACCTGGGTTAGCTTGGACCCCAATTGCAATAAAAATCTCTAAATATCTGTGTGTGCATACGCATGGACATGCACCCCTAAAATAGGCAAGTCAGGAAAAGAATGAGAGACAAAGAAATATGTAAAGCATGGTTTAAAAGTGAGGCTCAAAAATTGATAGGATCAAAGTTTCTTTTAAACACCTATAATAATAAAAGGGTAATATGCAAATTAGACTGGACAGGCAAACGACCTTCCATCCAGACGTCATTCTGGATATCCTTCCAGATGAAGCCATGGTGCGGGGGCCGAGACAGAGGCAGTTAGGGGCGATCAGGCAGGCAGGCAGAGCAGTTAGGGGTGATCAGGCATGAAGGCGAGCAGTTAGAGGCAATGAGACAGGCAGGCAAGGGGTTAGGGGCGATCAGGTGGGCAGGTGAGCAGTTATGGGCAGTGAGGCAGGCAGGCGAGCAGTTAGGGGTGATGAAGCAGGCATACAGAGTGGTTAGGGGCAATCAGACAGACAGGCAGGCAGGCAGGCAAGCAGTTAGGAACCAGTAGTCCCACATTGTGAGAGGGATGTCTGATTGGCAGTTGGACATCCCCAGAGGGATCCTGGATTGCAAAAGGAATTTCATGAACTGGGTATCTATTAGAATATAAAAATGAAAGGGCATCTGAAATTATCAAATGCAACCTCTGCATAACAGAAGCTAAGACTGAGGCCTAGAATGCTAAATGGTCTCACAGCGATTCCTCAGCTGTGTGAGATCTGTGCTTCCCACAGCCAATGCAGATGCACATCTGAACAGGCATCCTCAGATATTTCCTTTCTTGGTGAACTAGTCTATAAATGCCAAATGCATTTCTGAGTTATCCCTTAAAATATTCCTCTCCACTTTTTTAAAATAAGTTTTGCATCTTTTTAAAGAAAAACATATTTTTATTGATTTCAGAGAGGAAGGGAGAGGGAGAGATAGAAACATCAATAATGGGAGAGAATCATAGATTGGCTGCCTCCTGCATGCCCCACACTGGGGATATATCCTGCAACCTAGGCATATGCCCTAACCAGGAATTGAACTGTGACTTCCTGGTTCAGGGTTGATGCTCAATCACTGAATCATTCCAGCTGGGCTCCTCTCCACTTCTTAGATTCAGGGTTTGCATGAAATTTTAGAGGTTACTCAGTTTATTTCCCTATACTCAGCAGAACTAAGTTTTAGAAATATAATAGATAATTACTTTCCTTGTTTGTTTTAAGGCCTATAAAGAAGATGAGTTTTCAATTAGTTTTATATGGCAATATTTATTGTTTCAAAATGATGTTGGAATACCTATAATGGGTAACTCACTAGGTCATGTCAAATGGGAAAAACTAGTACATTGATTAATATGGCATGGATCTTGCTCTGAAGATGCCCAATGACTAGTATAAAAGATGAGGCATGTACTAAAATAATTATAATATGAGACAGCCAAGGGCCAGGAATTACTACAAGAGTAGAAAAGATGATGTCACTAATTCTAGCTAGGGGATGAGTACAGTGACTTACAGGAAACTAACTCTAAGACTGGATTAAGGTAAATGGAGAAGTATGGGCGTTCCAATCTATAGAACATGCAATCAAAAACAAGGCAGTAGCAAACATAGAATATAGAAGGAAAAAATGCAAGTATTCCAGGTTTGCTAAAGATAGCATACAAGTTGGAACCTTTGTGGGATAGAAAACTAGAAAGGTGGATTTAATCCAGAGTGTGTAAGATCTCTGGACCTAAAAGAAAAGGTGCTTTCCCCCTTTCATCCTGTAGTCCCTATGAAATCACTCAGTTATCTATTTTACAAAGTGTTGAAGCAACACTTAAGTAATGGGCACCCAGGAAAGGCATTAGCGATGCAAATTTCAGAACAACATGGTTTTTACCTCGTGGCGTTCCGTCTCCAATGTGAGTGACAGATAAGTAGTCAATGATTACTGCATAATAATGTGGGGAATGTCATGAGAGTTTGCACAGGGTCACATGGGAGAATATAAGAAAGACGAACTTAAAGTCAGATTTGTAGGAGAATAGCGATAGGCTTTCCAAAGGAAGAAGCTGTGCAGGTAAGTAGTAGTTATCTAAATAGAAGAGAGATGTTGGCTATTCAGGTAAAAACAAAAAACATATTAAACACACCTGACGATGTGAGAAAGTAAAACGTGTTCAGAATAAAAGCTAAATTTTAACCCAAAGTCATAGGAAATGATGAAATTATGATGATATTCAAAATTATGCTTCAAAAAAATAAATCTGGCAGCAGCACACAGAAAAGTAATTAGAAATAGGAAGCAACTACATAATGCTTTCCTCCAGAGCCTAGAAACATGGTAGAGAGGACTCAACAGGCCCAGCTCAAGTGAGAAGATCATGGCAACAGGATTTACTCAATTGCGCAAACCAAAGACTTCCAAACAAAGGAAATGTCCTGCACCTCACATTTTATTTTATTTTTATATTTTTTACTGATTTCAGAGAGGAAAGGAGAGGGAGAGAGAGATAGAAATATCAATTAGCAGAGAGAATCATTGATTGGCTGCCTCCTGCACTCCCCACACGGGAGGAAGCCCACAACCCAGGCATGTGCCCTGACCAGAAAATGAAGCATAACCTCCTGGTTCATAGGTTAATGCTAAACCACTGAGCTATACCAGCTGGGCCCTCACATCACATTTTAGAATGGATCAACCCAAAATGGAAAGTAGGAAGGAAAAGCAAATATGGTAGGAAATCTAGTGGTGGGAACACCGTTAAGCAGTAGACAGAGAGCAGACCCTATAGAGAAGGTAAACCTGGACTAAAAAGGCACTTCACAAAAACAGGCTCAGGCATCATGGACAGTGGAAGGACATTTAGAAAGCCTTGTGGTGACCAAGACCAAGGCTGCCCCCCTCAGTAATGAAGATTCAGTAGAGAATGGAGAAGCCACATTACCCGATATGATGCATTACTGGATTGTGAATGCATATAATTCTTGGGAACTCTCAAGAAATTTAACAGGGAGGAAAAGAGAGGCTGTTAATTTGAGAAGCAAAATGGGAACAAATTATTTTTTTTCTAAAAAAGACTTGAAAAAGCTTGTAGGTAACAAAAAAAAATTTAAAAGAGAGGGGGGAATTTAATAATCTTTATTGGCAGGAGGTTCACATTTCTAATCTAACTTGACAGCTCCATTCATTTCCTATGGCGCTGTTTTAAAGATCAAGAGCTTCAATTTGTCGTCCTCTGACGGTGAAGACCTTCCTATGCTGGGCCTGTTATTCAACCACTGCTCAGTCTTCACTTCTGGGTGAAAATATGAATTCATTAGTTCTTTCTCGTGAGTTTCATTTTCCAAAATTTTAATCAGCTCCATGGCTTTTCCTTTGTGCCCTTTCCTACATCTTACAGAGTCATCTTTGGAAAAAAGTTCACAAGAGAACCTAACAATTTAATAAGGACGAAGCCTAATTTTAGTCTTTTAAAAGGTGGGTATATGATGATCTCTCTAAGCCAGTGGTCGGCAAACTCATTAGTCAACAGAGCCAAATATCAACAATACAACAATTGAAATTTATTTTGAGAGCCAAATTTTTCAAACTTAAACTTCTTCTAATGCCACTTCTTCAAAATACTCGCCCCAGCCATGGTATTTTGTGGAAGAGCCACACTCAAGGGGCCAAAGAGCCGCACTCAAGGGGCCAAAGATCTCTCGAGCCAGTTTGCTGAGCATGGCTCTAAACCAGTGCTTTGCAAACTCACTTTGTGTGGCTGTTTTATTTTCAAAGCATAGGGATCATTTCTTGTCACTATATCGTCTGCAAGATAAAGGGGCTGCTCTGCACAGAGAGGGTGAGCAAAACAGAGCATCAGCCATGGAGCATCCCTCCTCCCCACTCCATAGAAGCCACTGGTATCACCCCATGGAGCTCCCCCAACTCCCCCCACTCCTAACCACCCCCAGTCAGGATCTGAAAACCCCTGTTCTATAACACCTGCCGATTTGTGGGGTCAAGTGTTATAGTCATTGTTTAAGCTATAGTATAATAGTGCTGAATACTGGCTGTGTTTTGTTTATTAGTTTCTTTCTCACAAATTACCTGTGTAAGTTATCTTTCCTTTATCAGATCAAAAACATTGCCTTTATCATAACATAATTTGTAGATCTTCCGTGATACCTTTTCCTACTTAAAATGTTACCAAGAATTCTGGCCACATAGTCAGAGACATTAGCTACCTCTTTTCTGAACAGCTTCATGGCAGCTAGGAACCCCATGTGCAAACACTGTTTTGAAGCCGGGACACGGATGAGCACAGAAACGGTAGCATTTGACCCAAACACTTTGTGTTGCAAAGAAAACATTTCTTCTTTTTCCCTCCCAAGTAAAGTCAAAATTAATTAAAAATTCTTTCTCTACTAAATGTCCTGGAAGCACTGAACTACAAAATGTATAATCTATAAAGAGTGATAGAAAAGAATCATGTGTATTTGTTCACCTTGCTTACTCACCTAATAAATTTAACAGCCAGGCCCAGGTCAGCTATACAGCAAGTTCCATTTTTCTTCACCAGAATGTTCTTACTTTTCAAATCTCGATGGGCAATTGCTGGTTTGCCTTGGGTACTAAAGATTTCGGTGTGTAAATGACATAAGCCACTGACGGAGGAATAGGCTAATTTCAGCATCGATTTAACATCGAGGGTGGTGGACTTCAAGTAATCATAGAGGGAACCGTTTTCATGATAGTCCGTGATTAGGTACAACTGGGTCCAGGACCCTGTCCCTTTGATATCTGCAGCAATGAACCCTAAAAGAAAAAAATAAAAATAAAAAGGCAACCAGATTCAGAGCTAAGTGTTTTCTGGATATTATCAGGAATAATTCATATTCTCCACTATCATGCTTTGTCATAGGTGTCTTTTGTTTGGCATTTCATTCAGTTTTCTGACTATGCCCCTGACAGTATGAAGTTACTAATATCAATCAAAACAGTAGGGGTAGAGAAAGATTAAGAGTCTGTATCTGAAAACATGACCTCTTTTTAATCAGCTGCTGCTATTTAAATGATTTTAAGTTAACAGGATATAGCTCGTGGTATTACAGTCATACTCAAGAAACTGTTTCCAAAACAGGGACTCCAGGCAAAGCACACACTTCAGATGAACTTACACCCTTTGCAGTTGAATGATTCAACTAGATCATTTCTAACTTGAGAAAATAAAAAGGAAATCAATTATCCGTATCAACTCTGGATATAAAAAACCCTGCGGATAAAATTCTTACAACTTTTCACAACATTTAAACAAAACATGTGCTCCTTTAAAACCCTCAGAAACCTGAAGAAATGTTGCTGTTGTATTGCATTTCCTGGAGAGGACTCCATGTCCACCCCACCATTCATTCACAGAAGCGCCTTAGGCCTCCTGTGAGGCCTCCTATTGGAAGCTTACCATGTTCCTGGGCTCACGCCAAGAAGAAAATGTCTATATATTTCAGAATGGGTCAAGACAGATGAGTTACTATGCAGATGTTAACAGAAAACTAGAGAAAAGAGAGAAAAACCTGAACTGTACAAGACTCACCCAAAATGTTTTCATGCCTCATCAGCACCGTCTGATAAATCTCTGTCTCACGGAACCAGCTGGCCTCCTCAGTGGTGAAGAACACTTTCACAGCTACCTTTTCGCCACGCCACTTTCCCATCCAAACTTCTCCATAGCGGCCTTTGCCAATCTGTTTCACCATCTGAATCTGCTTAGCTATAGTCCTTTGGACCTGTTAAGTCCCAAAACACACTGTTAGTATATTCATAGCACTACAGATTTGTTTAATCTTTTTCTTTCCCTCCAGAGAAGAAACAATTACTGCATCTAAAATAGATTTAGCCAGTTTATTTAAGCTTTTATTTGATTTACCCAATGTTTCTGGTCTTTCTCTACCTAAACTTCCATTGTATACTTCATTCTCGGATATCCATTTTAAGGCTTGATTATATAAATAAAAAGCCTATAAGATACAATCACTATAATTGTGATTACATAAAGAAAAAATAATAATTATTCTATGTAAAAATGTGTACAACTCCTTTTATTATAAAGGAGTTACCAGTCTTTCAGAAATGTAAACATTGAAAAACATTCAGCTGTACATAATGCTCTGTACTCTCTTAACATGTCCCTGAATTAGCAACACATACACACACACACACACACACACACACACACACACACACACCCTACACACAAATACACAGTTAAGAACACTTTGCTTAACAAGTCTTGGTTAATAATACACGTTGAAAAGATTTTTTTGTTATTGTTAATTCTCACTTGAGGATATTTTGTTCCATTAAGTTTTAGAGCAAATGGAAGGGAGGAAGGAGGCAGGAGGAGAGGGAAACATCAATGGGAGAGACACATCAGTTAGTTGCCTTCCACACGAGCCCCAACTGCATCAAATCTGGAATCCAGATGCATGCCCTTGACTAGAAATCCAACCCCAGATCCTTCTCACCAATGCTCTAACCACTGAATGTCATGCTGGCCAAGGCTAGAAAAATTTTTACAAAAGGTTCTTCACTTAAGAGGCTTAATAATGTTCAATTAGAGAATTTTCTTCACTTTCTTATCCATTTCAGATTCTGATAAATATGTTATAAATAAAATGTTACCATTTATTGAATATATAATATGTATTCAATAAATGCATATATGAATATATATAGTGGGGAGACAAACTATTTAAAAATATATATGTATATATGTGTATACACACATATGTGTACATGTACATATATTCATATATATACATATATACATATACATATACATATACATATACATATATCTTATTGACTTCAGTGAAGAAGGGAGAGGGATAGAGGGACTTCAGTGATGAGAGAGAATCATTGATGGGATGCCTCCTGCAAGTGCCCTGACTGGGAATTGAACTGTGACCTCCTGGTTCATAGGTCAACGCTCAATCACTGAACCATGCTGGCCAGGCATAAACTATCTTAATTGTTATAACTACCCTAAGGTATTCCTTCCTTAAAAATTTATACATAAAAATATTTGGCAAAGAGAAACAAAAGGCATGAATTTTCCTCTTACGTTAAAATATATAAAAAATTAGTGTCAAGGTGAGATACTCACATATTTTTGCACACTTTGCATTGTCTTAAAACAAGATTCTAAATTTGTAATAGTGAGATTTTTACCTTCACTAGTTTTATAGGATTCTCTTCCCGGCCTGCCCCTATCCAATGCCTTTCTTTGTTTTATTTAACTTACATTTGGTTCACTTTTCACAAACATCAAGAACACAGATTCCAGGACTAGCCACTTTGGCTCAATGGATAGAGAGTTGGCCTGGGGACAGAAGGGTCCTGGGTTCCATTCTGGTCAAGGGCACATGCTTTGGTTGCAGGCTTGATCTCCAGTAGGGGGTATGCAGGAGCCAGCCAATCCATGATTATCTCTCATCATTGATGTTATTATCTCCTTCCCTCTCCCTTCCTCTCTGAAATCAATAAAATATTGAAGAAGAAGAAGAAAAATAAGGAGGAGGAGGAGAAGAAGGAGGAGGAGGAGGAGGAAGAAGAATAATACTACAGATTTCAGAGGCAGATCATCTGGGTCTGAGTCCTGGCTTCTCCACATACTAGCTTGTCGACCTATCTAGGCCTATCCCCTGGTGTGTAATGCAGGGATATAGTTTGAGAACTACCTCACAGGGTTGTTATAAGGATTAAATGAGATCAAATTTATAAAGGCTTCTATCTGGCCAGGATTTGAACCATGGCGATCTGACTGTTAATCATTTTGTGATAAAAGCCAAATGCTATTTTTCTATATCTAGATTGTAGAAACAAGATAGTATTTTCAAGGACATTAAAAGTTGGAGTTGAAAGCTTTTAAAACAAATTATTGAACATCCCTTTAATCAAATGAGGAGATACAAAGTGAACAACGTATAGTCTCCACCCCTAAAGAAGTGATAGTCCATCTAGACACAGACATATGAACATCAATTTAACAGTATTTTAATCTGTTATACTGACATTATAAGTAAAATGTTATGACAGAGGATTAATAGATTGGCTCAGTTTGGTTAAATTGTCACAGAGATAAAATGTGAGTTAGGCCAGGAGCCAGAAGTCTGAAGAACTCCCCATAAAGTTATCATTGTTTCATTCACTGTCATTTCATTATAACCTTGGAGAGATGCTGTAGGAACTTAACTCTTGTCTATGTCAATGAACCTGTGGTAAAATTGGTTTTGTTATGTCATTTCAGAACCCATTGAGGATATCAAGTGAGGACAGTGCATTTGAGAAACCATTACTCAAGGCTGATGATGCTAGGGCTCAGGGAGCAGGGAGAGAAGAAATAGAAGATGATGTGTGCCATGCAGACCAGGCTAATATAGAAAACCCATAAACGCTATTGGACAGTAGAAGGAACATAGTAAGGTCAAAGGCTTCAGAGAGGTAGCTCCACAGCAATGAGAAAGATGGTTTAGAAGGAGGAAAACAAATAGTTTTAAAGTCCAAGAGCATCAGTATCCGATTCATCAATACCAAAAGGGATGTAAATATCTGTACTTTTCTTTTAAAAAATGTGAAATATCTTAAATTTAAGAATTATATTTTATATATATATATATATATATATATATATATTAATTTCAAAATAAAAATCAAGCAATTTGATAATGATTTTTACGTAAGAAAAATGTGCATCCTCAGTACTACCAGTTTGGTCATAATGACTACTTCACAAAGGGTTTTCTGTCTGGTTTATTACCTCCAGGAGAGGTATTAGTCAACAAGTACAGAGTATCAGTTATGCAAGATGAGTAAGTCTTACAGATCTTCAATGCCTACAGTTAACAGTAGTGTACTGTATTCTAAAATTTATTAAGAGAGTAAATATTAGATTGAGTGTTATCATAAAATAATAATAATACACAAAGAGGACATGGGGAAATTTTTAGAGATGGTGGATATGTGGATGGCATAGATTATGGTGATGTTTCAGGCATACATTCATCTCCAAACTCTTCAAGTCGTATTCATTAAATATAAACAGTTTTTTGTATGTCCAAAAATAATGCTAGAAGATAAATGCTTGCCTTGAGATTTTTTTTTAATGTTACTTTTAGCACGAAATAAAAAAAAAAATGGCCTAAGGAATAAAGTAAACAAGATATCCAAAGCCAGACCAGATAACAAAGATTAGAAAAATCAATCTTAAGAGTTTATAAAGGCAAACATTTCTCATTAAAATTGTTATTTCCATCCCGAGTCCCCACAACCTTTTTCTGGCCTGGTCCATAAAGGAACAGAATGTTTTTCTCATTAAAGCAAGTGCCTTGGACTCGGTGTATTTTTTCTTCAAGGTTGGCAGTGTGGACCATCAGAAAATTAAACCTCTCCTGAATGGAAAAGCCAGGACTTCACCCTGAAACATAAACCCTCCGGCTGAAATGCAGCCTTCTTCCCTTGTAAAAGTGCTCCGATCCCAGTTGGTTGTAATCCTTTTGCCTTCAAAAGCCAGGCCAAAGTGCTGTAATACTATCCTGGCTGAAAACAGCGGGAAGATGGCCCCATGTTTAATGTTCTCTAATCTGCTCTTTATCAGAATGTCTGAGGGTCTGGATTGTAACCATACACGGACATTAAAAAACAATCACCTTACCCCCAATATGTCAAAATGTTATCAGGAAGCCCCGCATCGGAGATCTGATAGCTAACGGATTGCACAGAACGTCCTCTTTGTCCTGCCCTATCTGTTTCAGTAAAATGAAACCCTGTATTTACTGACATTTCCTCTCAGAAAACATTCCTTTAAATGCCATATGTCCTTCTCCTACCAGCAGAGGGAGGCCTGACCCGCTTCCTGAGCTCTGAGACTGCTCAATTAAGTCTTTCAGGGATTCCCCCGGAGGAATGTACGTTTCATCCTGCTCCAACCCAATGCTGTACCGAGGTCTGGCTTCTTGTCTTTTATACCTAAAGGTGCACAGAGGAACATCATTTTTAGACACTGAGTGGCAATGATGCAGGCAAAACATTGTAATCCTGGCAAGTTTTACTTCCGCAAATAAAAACAAATATAAGATTAAATGCTCGGTATTATTACCCTCAATAATGATTTTCAAAACACAAATTATAATTATTTCCCTAACTGATTCTTTAAAGGAAACTAAATGTTTTTACTCAGTCTTAACTATCTACAATTCTTCTCCATTCTTTCTGATTATTTCCCAACAGGCCACAGTCTGTTAACGTTTCTGTATAGTTCCATTATATTCATTCCCTACAGCCTTTCCCTATCTAAGGTGCCCCTAATTAACATAAATATACATTTCTAGTGTTCAAAAGACATTATGGCTAACTCTCTCATGTAAGGTAATATAGAGACCAATAATACAGATAAGTAAATATAAACTTTAAAAACTTTTTACCAATGTTTAGAAATAAATGTTTGAATCCCATTTGCAGGATTATATCATAAATGAGTATTTTTTTTTTTAAAGGCAAGAGGCTTGGATTTAAAGGTCCTTGATATTACATAAACTACAAAATAAGTTTTTAGGTGCCTAAAAGTTTAATTTGTAACCACAATACTTACTTTTAATATAGTAACTAAACTCTTGAATGTGATTATCTAAAATAATCCTTAAAAATATTTTAATACCAGGAATGTTTTAATACCAGGAATGTATTTTAACTCAGTAATTAATTATTAGAACAATCTAAGTTGCACATGCTCATTTCTCTGCTTAGAATCAAACTCAGTAGTAACTATTAATAGTTCCTTAATTCCCTATCTGTCCTAATTTCCCTAAGGGTGAAGTTTATCAGGGTGATTTTGATATCTGAAGGCAAATGAAATAGGTATCTATTAATAGATTCATTATTACAAATAGCCATCAATAGTAACGATATTACCAATGAAATCTAAGATCTAATTAGGTTAAAGGAAGCTGGGGTTGGAGAGCCACGGGTACGATAGTAGGTTGACAAAGATATTATAAACTCAAAATTCTACCTCTACAAGTGGGACACTTACCTGAAGTAACAGAATAAAATGATAAGGACCAACAGGAAACTACAGACAGTCACAGATATAAGTAAGGCTTTGTGGTGTACAGATCCATCAACAAAATCTGAAATTAAAAAGAAAGTAAATAGCACCATGATACAAAGAATATTTTCACCTAAAATTTAGGAAGTAACTCTTTCCTAAAAGTGCTTGCTAACTTCCATATGCAAAATGTGAGAGGTACTTTTCATCTGCTGATTTATATAAATTCTAGTGACCTGGTGCACGAAATTTGTGCACATTAAAAGGGGATTAATTAGAGGAAATAATTTAATATTGTTATTTGCCCTTTTCCTATAATAAAAGTGTCAGAGATGAAAGAAAATTAGTAAAATGTACATAAAAACCTTCCTCCTGTCGGAGTCTGGGACATGCCATGGGACCCATAGGCAAGTCCCCGCTCACCCACATGCACCTCAAATTCAAGTGAGACCCAGACCTGGCTGCCCCCCTCGCCCCTGTCCCATTGGGCTAGATCCAGTCCACCCTTGTCAAGCCCTGCCAGGCAGGGGGGTAGCCTCAGGTCCCCTGGCCTAGTGCCAGGATGGGGGGCATGACCTGAGGTCCCCAACCCATACCAGGGTGGGGGGCATGCCTTGAGGTCCTGCATCAAGCCCTGCCAGGTGGGGGACATGACCTGAGATCCCCTGTCAAGCCCCACCAGGCAGGGGGAATGCGCAGCCTCAGGTCCCCCAGCCCAGCATAGGAGGGTGGTGCAGCCTTAGGCCCCCCGTCAAGCCTCACTATCAGGGGGCCACAGCCTCAGGTCCGTGTCAAGCCCTGCTGGGCGGGGGCGTGGCCTGAGTTCCCCGGACCTAGCACTGGAGATGCAACATGAGGACCCCCATCAAGCCCTGCTGAGTGGGGTCAAGGCTTGAGGTCCCCTGTCAAACCCTGCCAGGTGGAGGATGAGGCCTGATTTCCCCAGATGCAGCACTGGGGGTGCACCATGAGGCCCTTTGTCAAGCCGTCAGGTGGAGGGTACAGCCTGAGGTCTCCTGTCAAGCCCTCTGGGGGCAGGAGAGGGCACAGCCTCATGTTCCTCCTGATTGCTCATTAAGGCTCCTTAAGGGAACTTGGCCTCAGCTCTGGATGCAGCCATCTTTGTGATGGAGTGATGGTCAATTTGCATATTCCCTATTCATTATATAGGATCATTTATACTGTCCCATAAAATGTATTCTCACTTTTTTTCTGGTAGCTCAATTGATGTTTCTTTTCAGATTTAACCCATTGGAACTTAATAGTTATTCAAAGTGTGTATGCATATATTTGGGGGGCTACCATGTATATATATTCTAAATTAAATAATTTCAACTAGCATGAATCATCATTCATCTGGCACTTGGTTCAAGAGCATGCAGGAAGAAATGTGCTTGACATCCTATACAATAAAAGGGTAATTAATATACAATCAACCAGATGGCAGAATGACTGGTTGCTATGACATGCACTGACCACCAGGGACAGACGCTCAACACAGGAGCTGTCCCCCATAACCCTGGTGGTCAGTGCACTTTCACAGGGAGTGCTGCTCAGCCACAAGCCAGGCTGATGGCTGGCAAGCAGAGGCGACAGCGCTAAGGATGTCTGGCAGCAGCTTAGGCCCATTCCCCACAGGGAGCGGACTTAAGCCATCAGTCAGAAATCCTCCAAGAACTCCTGGACTGTGAAAGGGTGCAGGCCGGGCTGAAGGAATTCCTCCCCCCCAAGTGCATGAATGTTGTGCACTGAGCCTCTAGTCTATATCTATAATAATAAAGGGGTAATATGCTAATTAGACCAGATGTCTTCCAGACTTCCTTCCTGATGAAACCAGGGCTCAGAAAGCCAGCCCAGGTCCCAGGTGCCTACTGGAAGCTGAAGGAGGGAAGCCTGGGTCCCGGGTTCCAGAGGGAAGCCTGTGCCAGCAGCTGGGGGAACAAAGCCCTACTCTTGCATGAATTTTCATGCATGGGGCCTCTAGTCCTATATAATAAGGAGGTAATATGAAAATTGACCATTACCCTAACACACAAAATGGCCAGCCTCATGTGGTCAAAGATCACCACCATAAGATGGCTAGTAGGGGATGAAAGTTAGGGTGACCAGACCTGCAGGGGAGGGAAGTTGGGGGTGACCAGGCATGAAGGGGAGGGCAGTAAGGAGTGACCAGGCCAGCAGGGGAGGGCAGTTAGGGATGACCAGGCCTGCAGAAGAGGGCGGTTATGGGTGACCAAGCTGTAGGGGAGGGCAGTTGGGGGCAATCGGGCTGGTAGGGGAGCAGTTAGGCATCAATCAGGCTGGCAGGGGAATGATTAAGGGGTGATGAGGGAGGCTAACAGGCAGAAGCAGTTAGAAGCAATCAGGCAGGTAGGCAGATGAGAGGTTGGGAACCAGCAGTCCTGGATTCTGAGAGGGATCCCAGATTGAAGAGGGTGCAGGCTGGCTGAGGGACACATACCCCCCATGCATGAATTTTGTGAACTGGGCCTCTAGTATATATATAAAAGCCTACACAACCATTACGACCGAACAACCAGAACGACTGGTTGCTATGATGCACATTGACCACTAGGGGGCAGTGTGCTCCCACAGCCAACCTCCCACAGCCCCTACCCCCATCCAGCTCACCGCTATTGGCCACTAAAACATTGGTGCTAAACCATTCGTAGATGACCTGTTTCTGGTTTGGGGTTTCCTATGTATAAGAGCAGCTCCCTTGCTGCAATCTACTGAAAGTCAGCCCTCGACACAAAGGTTTTTCTTGCTCCCATTCTCTCACTTTCCCGGAGCCACCCATCTACCATGGTGGTGGTACAGTGGCAAGAAAAAGAGGGGGTACCACATGGTGGTGGAGCACCTTTCCTTTTATGCTCGGCCCAGCGACCGTAACCTCCTCTCCCGATCATGCCAGGGCCTTTGGGCCCCAGGCTGGGATGGGGAACCGGGGGCAGGTAGGGCAGATGCAGTCCCTTTCCCAGGGGCCAAGGGCCGGCTCCCTCCTTGCAGCCAGTAGCCAACATTCTCCTGTCCCTTACCCCAGCCAGCAGGCCCCAACTGGCCTTGCTCCAATCAGCCTGGTCCCGATCAGCCAGGCCCCAATCAGTCCTGACCCCTGGCCAGGCTTAAGGACCCCACCTGTGCATGAATTCATGCACCGGGCTTCTAGTAAGATATAAGTACAGAATATAAACAAATGTAATAAATGGATCGATGCTCCTAGAACATAATTAGGTAGTTCATCTTTATTTCAGATCCAGCTGATGGGTTTATAGGCTTTCCTTGTGTGGTTTCTGAATTTGTATTTGTGTGTGTGTGTGTGTGTGTGTGTGTGTGTGTGTGTATATTATACACACACACACACATACACACATATATATATATTCATTGTACATAAAACATAGTCATCTTCTGATGGACACAAAGGAATAGAACTCAAATGTTCCCAAATACAGTATATGTGCATGCACATCACTTTAAATAAAGATGTCCTTCAAGAATACATACATGCATTTTTCATTAAAAGAATGGGTATGTTCTACTCAAAGAATTACTGTGTGATCCTTTTAAAGAGTAAACTATTAAATATTATTCATGTTGTTTTAACTTCAGTTCCTAACAAATTGGATTTATCTACAGTGTGATTTTTCAAACATCACAGAAATAAGAATGACTTAGACAACTTTATACAAATGCACATTAACTACTTCAATCCCAGAGATTTTAATTCCAAGTATTTTTTATATTTTACTATAATTTTAAGTGATTTATATGCAGGAAATCTCAGATACATATTTTGAGAAAATTGGTCTACAATCAGTTACACTTACATAGCAAGAATATTAGAACCATTCTTATTAAGGGCACCATATATCCTTGAGAGTGTGGTTACTGTTATTGAATTTTAGTGGTGTTTTGTAATTTATGACTTTGGTTACTATGGAGAAGAAATTTTCTAACTGTGCTGTATACCTTTAACTGTACAGCTACCTAAACATTTAGGCTGGGGACCTTATACCACCCAATGCAACTTATTTTTCTCAATCAAAAGTATGATATTTTCCATGAAAAAAAAATTACCACAAATTAAACAAAAATAAATTAAACTGCCATCACCTCACTGCTTAGGAAAATTACTACCAACATTTTATTTTATGTCTTTGCAGTATCATTTCAATGAACAAAAAAGTTCATGAACAAAATATTTCACAAAAAGTTATTATATACACCCATGTACATAGGAACATTGTTTATAATAGCTAAAACATGGAAGAAATCAGAGTGCCCCCTGATAGATGAATATATAAGAAAAAAATGTGGTTTATAAATACCTGGAACATTATTTAGCTTTAAAAAGGAAGGAAATTGTGACATATGCTACAGGATGAATGAATCTTATGGACATTATGCTAAGTAAAATAACCCTGTCAGAAAGATAAATAATGCATAATTCCACTATTTGAGGTGCATAGGGTAATCAAATTTATAAAGAGGAAAAGTAGAATGGTGGGCTGGGGAAAGGTGGAACTGGGAAAGTTAAGATTTAATGCACATAGAGTTTCAGTTTTACAAAATGAAAAGAATTATAGAGCTGGGTGGTGGTGATGGTTAGGCAACATTATGAAGATATTGAATATCCAGCTGTGCACTTAAAGTGATTAAGATGGTAAGTTTTATGTTATGTATTTTGCCACAATTAGTTTACCAAGATTATTTGTTCAAAAGATATATACTTTGTCCTTTTATACACATTATTAAAATTTCCTAAAGAAAGCACTGCAACAGTTTCTATTTCCCTACCAATAGGAACATGTTTTAGTTGCTTTGAAATAAAATCTTACAGAAAACATGTAAAGATAAAGAATTCTAGTATGCCCTTCACAGAGATTTCCAATCTAAAAAATGTTTACCATATCCTATCTAATAAAAGAGTAATATGCAAATTGACCATCATTCCAACACACAATATGGCTGCCCCCATGTGTCAAAGATGGCAGCTCCCATTTGATCAAAGATGGCTATCCCCAAGTGGACAAAATATGGCTTCCACAAGATGGCTGGCAGGGGAGAGCAGTTATGGGC